TTTTTGTTTAAATTATCGCCCCCCCAATATCAATTTCCTGGGTCCGCCCCTGACATTAATAGTGTTATAATCAAAGCACAAAAACTAAATCAGAATGTGATAAAAGTTAGATAGATTAAACAAGATATTAAGATGCAGTTCATCAACTGACTATAGGAATAGTTATTGTGATGATTTATTCAGTACAAAGGAGTTTTTTTTAATAATTTCAGTAGTTTGTTTGTCGACCTTCTCACGTGAATTTTATGTTATTGAATATATCGATGTATTTATAAATATCATTTGTAACGAAGCCAAAAACTCACTATTTTTTAGCTTGGGAATATGATGGAATAAAACAAAATGGCTCACTAAACTGTTTGCGCTTCTTTGTTGTGAAACAGCAGTCGGTCCATGCAATTTTGACGCGATTTTCATTTTGGGTCATCCAGAAACAGTCTCCTTGTGCTTTAGTGCAGGGGTAAGACTGCGTACATCCGACCCCCTTACCCCGCCGTAGGTGGGAGCCTTTACAACACTGGGGTAATGATGACGATAAATATATCAATGTATTTATTTTATGTTTTTATTACGGAGTAATAAACACGGGTTGATCTCTTGTCATCTTTTTTCCCTTAATCTTCTATTTCTTTCTTATGTTTCTTATCCTTTTATCTTATACAGAGTATATATATGCATTTCATAATTTTTATCTTATCACTTTTATGTATATCTTATTTCTATTTTATATTAACTATTTAATTTTTTTTATCATATCTTATCTTTTTCTTTCTTATCTTTTTTTTCTTTTGGCTCCAGACCTCCAGTATAATGTATCAGATTCATGTTAGCCAATCCAAAATCTTTCGGTACTAAAGGTTCGATGTTGTTGTTGTTGTAATAAAAAAACATGGAATTAGATTTACACAAGAGGTCCACAGTCCACTACAAAAAAAAATCAAAGCCCTCCAACCACGTAAAACTCTTGTGTTTTAGATTTTTGGTCTAGCAACAGATCATTTCTAAATATTCTTTGGAAATCGAAAGGTCTATAAGAAAGAATTATCAAATTAGTTATATTAGTTATATAAACATAAAAGAGGTCCACTGCAAGAAAATAAAGCCCTCCAACCCAAGTGAAAACTCTTGTGTTTTAGGTTTTGTGTGTATCAATAGAAACCATTTTCAGATATCCCACAGAAGCCAGGAGGTGCCTTACAAGCAATTACCAAATATGCTTTAAAAGATATCCACGTACTCAAAATCTAGACCATGTACACTCTCATATAAGAGGCGGTGAGAAACGCAAAATAATATATGTGATTAAATGATTCATATGCAAGGATTTATGTGTCAATAAAACTCGTACCTTAAATTTATCAACTTTTGATATGTGAAATAAGGGAAGAGTGTGGAAGTCTTTAGTCAACCTCACCAGCATTATCACCTGAGACAGAGAAATGATGGTATAGCTATGAAATTTAAAGTGAGTGCATGTGTTAGATGGGGTGTGATGGCCTGATGGGGTTATCCTAAAAGATTGAAGGGTTTACACTCTAAATCCCTTATAAAACTGCTTAGTCATTCATGCATGTTCACATATATTGTTTTTTTTAAAATTACCAACCACTAAACTGAACTAAGAGAAAATAAACAGACTTGAAGCACTACTTAAAAAGAAATGTCGAGGGTCAGGGACTACATTCATACATCCATTACTATATTACAATTTTGATGAGTTTTATATTTTCATTTAGAATCTCATTTCTTCTACTTAATTGCACAGACCTTTAAGTATTTTAAACACTAAAGTTTAAAATTAGGCATTTTAAACACTAAAGTTTAAAATTAGCATTTTAAACACTAAATTACATTTAAACACTTAAATATGCTGGTAAAGGTACAATTCATGCCATTGATTATAAGACTGTGTTGGATACCCAAATGTATGTTAGAAAACACCTGCAAGCAGCATTTGGAAATATGAGGGTAGATCAAATGGATTAATAATTGAACCAATAATGGAGAAGATGGAAATGTCTCAGCCTTAAAACCCAATTCATGACAGGTTTACGATAATGAAAAAATCACTTTAAATGAAATGGTTGCATACAAAAATATCAGGCCCCTGAAGTTATAAACATCATTGTGTGCACAAGGTATAATGATAATAATTTAAAGCATAAGGTAACCTTCAAATACATCAAATACAAAATGACCATATATAAAGTGATGGGAAAAATAGATTGAGTAGGGTAAGTTACTTACATGAAAAGAGGACTACAAATTGGTTAATTTCATGCCACGAACTTTGGGAAAAAATCTGGAATCTCAATGGGGTAAAGCTTAGAACTCCTGTTGCGCTTGAATATCCGTGAGTGGCGCCTAATAGCAGATGCAAATAAACAAGGTTTAGCACTAATTATTAAGGTTTTTTATTGCAATTACTAAAACAAATATATCAATTTACTTGTGCCAGACAAAGGACGACTATGAGGAGATCGAAGGGAAGCAATCAGGGAGAGCATATATAAAAAAAATCATTGAATTATATGTAACCCGCATCTTCTGAAAAGAAAAGATTGGTTAATATCATTATTACCATTAACCACCTCAATGTTTCCAGCAATATCGCATGTTTAAAGGACTACAAAACTTCGCTCAAATATCCGCAAATCCATCAACCATAGCTGTCATTTGGTTCAATCTATAAGCCACTAACTATGAGCGAAGGTAATAGTTAAATACTATGGCTATAGGTAAACCAAAACTAAAAGCAACTCATGAAATATACAAACTAAATACTTTTTTTGCAAAGAAATATACAAAAATACTTAAGTTTACCGAAAATATACAGGCTTTATTATAACAAAAACCTCACAAAACTCAAAACAGAGTTCAAAAATTAGTAACAATCTCAGGTTTGGAACTTAAATGTGAAGAATAACAATAACTCAAATGATTGAACCCGGAAATCTAAAATTTGAATATAATTTGAAACTAATATTAACAATAAAAAAAACTGAAATTCAGAATCATAATCTATTATCAATGAAATGATTAACAAACAGTCATAATAAAATTTAGAAAATATATAATCAGTTAATCACATAGACTTACACTAATGATCTACTGTGATCAATTCAACCTGAAATTCTGAAATTCGAATGATAATTTATTATCAATTAAATAGATTTCACCTTTCCCATGTATCAACAAGAATTAAATAAGATCTTCATATCAAAAGGGAAATACTGAAACAACCGAAATGTTGATGAAGGGATAACCAATAATCATTATTCAATATTTAGATGCATCTAAACAAAATATTCACATTGAGTTAACACACAAACCTGATGTGTAGAAGAGTGAGAAAGGATTTTGAATTCTGGGAGTAGTCGAGCGGAGGCGGCTGAACCACTTAAAGAAGAGCCGGTTGATCGAATCTGCGATTCAAGCGAAGAGCCGGTTGATCAATTATGCTAGAGCAAGCTAAGACTCCGAAGAGCAGATAGCAAGAGCAGGCGCAGAGCAGAGGGACTTCAAAATCGGGATTTCCTATCTGTGATTCCTCGTCGTCTTGATTCCAATTCCGCAATTCCCCATCGCGAGGACAAGGAGTCGGGGTTCGCAGATCGCAGTGGCTAATCGGCTGGCAAAAGAAAGCAAATTAAACACGAAGAGGGTTATCAGTCACGATGGATGTGAGTTGCGCGGGTGACGCCTTTTCCGGATGAGGCAACACTAAACCAGACGGCAAACTGGGTTCCTTAACGGAGATCTAAGCTCACTTGAAAAAGAACAAATAATGAAGCACCCCGTACAACTAAAGTAAGCTATGCTATTACACCAACAAATTTTCTATTCCCAAAAGGGTATAACCCTCATTCACATTTATAAGATTTTAGATTTAGATATAAGCCTTTTAACATAAAATGAAAAAGAACCGGTTATGTTTTAGCATCTGTTATTAAATACTCCCTCCGTATCATATTAGTTGCAACATAGGAATTTACACACTATTCATATACTATACTTTGACTACATTTGATTTATTAATGTATGTGAATTTTTTTTTTGAAAAATATCGTTGAACTCGTCTCATTACAAAGTTTCATAATTTGATTTTTCAAATTTTTTTACTAATAGAGAATTAAATATAATGATGGTCAAAATTGTGCATTGGTAAGTGTGAAAAAGGGAATGTTGCAACTAAAAAAGAACGAGGGATAGTACTACCTCCGTCCTACTAAGATTGGGAAAAGAGAAGGTGACACGATTATTAAGGAAAGTGGGTTTGTGTGGTTGATATTAAATTGATAAAGTAAGAATAAAGTAAGAATGATTTAGAGCCACACAAACTTTGGTATGAGACAATCTTAGAGGCCGTTTGGTAACTTTTTCACTAAACACGTAACTTTTGTTTTCCCGCGCTGAATATTGTAATAAGCAGAAAAAGTAAGGTTGAAGTTACTTTTCTGGTTGTATTGACTGAAGTTACAGTAGATAATCATTTTAGCTATTTTTACATATAATTTTTTCTTTGTTTTATTAATAAAATACGGAGTATATTTTAAAAATATTTTTTTCTTAAATCAGCAGAATCAGCCAAATCAGTCAAATCAGTCGATTTTCGTGCTACCAAACAGATTCTTAGTAGACTTTCCCAAAAAGGTAAAATGAGATAATATTAGTGGGACGGAGGGAGTATCTTTAAAAAATACTCCGTATGTCTCAATCATTGACAGGTTTGTATAGAAATATTTGTGCACTAAAAAATCAATCAAGGACGTTATAGAACTGGTTATGCTTATTGTAAAAGTGTAAAACTAATGAATCTCCATTATATGTCTAGATTTTCAACCGTAGAAGCTCTCCGATTTTGACGGAACTTTGGTTTTTTCTCCAGCACTGGTGGCTTCTCTCTAAATTTGTGAGAGGGAATGTGTATATGTTTTGATGTTACACCAATAGTAACACAGGTGTAATATTCTAATATGTTTACAACATTTTAACTTCATCTTATACATCACACATATTCAATAAGCAGCAGATAAATTAATGTGCTCAAAGTTCAAAGTGTACTCATAATCATATATAACTTGATGAAAGAAGGAAATGTTGTAGAAATTGCAACATTACACCGCAGAAGAGTTAACAAAAGAGAAACGAAGACTACATATTTCTTTTTTCTTGAGAAGTCAGCTTGTCTCACTTCTCAAAACTATTTATATATATATCTCACTAAGACACTAACCACCACACAAGGAGAAGAAAGAGGATGAGCACTCATTTTAAATTCCTCTCTTCACTCCTTTCTTCTCCCATACCCCCTCCTACACATATTGCAAACCACCAATGACTTGAAAAAACACTGCAAACAGAAATAGACAGGACAGAAACAGACACCCTACACAGCTTTATATAAAAATCGTGCTGCTTTGGAGTTCTGTTTCTTTTTCTTGTTTTAGTAAATTAGATGCGGTAACCAGACACCCAGACTTGAGCAGAAGAACCACTACTATGGATGTAGACGAACTGCAGGCTCTTTCCAGACGGCAAAGCATTAAGCCATGATGGGAAGAAATAGGAGTGTCCATACTTTGTGAGACCCCAAATAGGACCATAGAGCTTAGATACAGAGATCTTCAAATTCTTGACCGTCTTGCCTGATTTATTGGTCACAGTTACCAAGTACTTGTTGTATCTTTTCCCTCCATGAACCCATGATTTGGTCACCGTCTGATGGATCCAAAACCGAGCTGAAGAAGAAGCTGCAAATACAATTTCTTGTCAAGACTTTTGATATGAAACCCAAAAATAATAATGCAATTACATATATATGATCATTTTCTTTATAGTATAAACTCAGAAGTAGTGCAGTTACCTGGAGGAGTCCGGGTAGGTCTCCGTGTAGCAGGTGAGTGTGAACCATATGAATGTGGACCAGGTGAATGTGAAGCAGGCTTAGGTTGATGGTGAACAGCTACATAAAAGATATCTATAGTAAATACTTTTAAATAAGAACATAACGCTCAAACCAACACTAAGAACCCATTCCCCAAGCTTCATTTACTGCTCATCAATCTGTCTTATACTACTGCTCTCGTGCAAGAATTACTTTTTCTAACTTAATCAAAGAACACTTTTTCAAAAAAAACTTAATCAAAGAACACAATATATTCTTTATTTGCAGATATAATTTTCATTGATTTATTCAGTTTTTTTCCAAACACGCTAACCGATTTTAGTATTGGTTCAATGATACTACTAACCCTGAATGGAATAGGACTACCTTCTCTTTGGAAGGCAAACCAATACTACAAGAGTACAAAACCAGAAGTTGCTAGGGTTTTATAAATAATTTTAAAGATAATTCAACAGATTTGATCATTTAAGCCACAATTTGATCAACTTAATCCCATTCAGTCACTTCAACGATAGTAAGATTTACCAAATAGGATTCAGTATCATTAAACAGAAAATCAAAATGTAAAAATATATACTCATGTACCTGGAAGAAGCTGGCTATAGCCATTATGACCAGCATGTAAACGAGCCAAAACACCAATTAATGGAGCACTGTTGTAAGTGGCAGGTTCTGTTTGCTCAAAGTTGTCTCTGTGATCAGCAAAGCTGTCGTAGGCATCAGGTCCACCAACAATAGCACCAGTGAGAAGATTAGGGTCACTTCCTTTGCTGCTATACCAGGTCGCATACCCACCTCGGCAGCTAACAAATGCAGAATTTTCTTTAATGGATACAATAGAAGACCCTCTGTGGTGAACTTGTTTCGGGTAGTTGTTTCCATAGCCCACCATGTAGCTAGTTGCTCTTGGGTTGTCCCCGAGAATGTAGTCCACCTGAGAAGAAATAGAGCAAAATACAGAATGCAAACCCGTTAGTATGATAGGCGATCGAATTCAAGAGAAAACCAGGACTACAACATGAGGAAGCATCATCGGGATGCAAAAATACTAACTCTTAAGGGTGCATTTGGATGGTTTTGGAGCAGAAAGCATTTAAAGGCTTATAATATAGCTTGATAAATAGGAAAAAATGGAGATTGGAATGTCCAAAGATTATCGCCTACTTTCAACATAATCTTATTTTCTTTTCCCTACTATTTTCTCCATCCCAAAAGGCCATAATGCAGGGTTAATTTACCTGTGATTGAGCAAAGGAAATCAACTCAGAAGGGCTAACATCAGCTCCATAACCACACTTGAGTGTCTTGCCAGCTGATGACAGATAGTCAGAATAGACAGTGAGAAGGAAGGAAGCACTGGTAACAAATTGCAAGTTGTTCCAATTCTGATGGAAAAGGAGGCCTCCCGGTGTCCTCTGAACGTTCCTGTTCCCTTTTCCTAAGCATGAACACATGAAGGATTCAGCGTTCTTCTGATATTCCTGGAGAACTGATGCATGCCCTCCATCATTTCCTTGCATTAAGAACTGCAACATCACAGAACTTTTCAGTTAATAAGAAGTTTGAAAAAAAAAACGATAAAACAATCATCATCCAACGCCACCATCAATGGGCAATAAAAATTCATTGCAGCTTTTTTAACCTTTGCCACAAGAGTTTGAACACCAGCATATTTGACGTCCCATCCAAACTCAGTCATGGCCCAACTTGTCCCTCCAAATGCATCTCCATTATCGGTCAAGTAGTTGAGGTAAAATTGGTTGTTTGAAGCCTTGTACAACCAGGCAGCTGCCCACAACAACTCATCCTGTGTAGATCCAATCAAAATTAACATATCAGCCAAATTTACTCGATTTGCTAAGCTCCTTCATCAACTTAAGGACAAGGGGAGCTCTAGACCATTAAAGACTAATTTTTTAGACTAAATATTAGTTCTTGCCTTGTTCTTTATTAGTCTATAACTTTTATCAAGTATTTCCTCTAAATGGTACAAAGTGGGAGAAGAGAGTAACAATACCTTATACCCACTAACAGATTGGTAGAAATTCCTGGCCACTGTGATGCTGCTATCATATTTGCCCCTGTACTTGTCCGCAAATTCGAATAACTGCATCCCCAAAAGATTGATGGAAAATGAGGGGCAGTTGTGTAAAGAGCAGAAAGTTAGGGGACTGAAAAGAGGAAAACTATTGAGGGTGCGCGTGTGGGTGTAAATTGATGAAATGAATGAGTGGGCGCCACGACTCAAGGTCGTGCAAAGGCGGCCCAATCACATGACATGTCGCGTTATGTGCGGATGGATTATTTTTTAGCGACGGTTAGGATTCGGTGAGCAGAGCAGATCCGGTAGAAACTACCCGTGATTACCGGCTACGGGCCCACCACGTCCAATACGTGCGCGCCGAAATATTCTTTGCCCGCATTTGTGCAGGTATGGTCACAATTTTTAATCCCATGGTTTGTCGTATGTTATTTCGGAACAAATAATAATGAAATAATTGTAAGTTGTAACATTTACTACCTCCGGTTTTATTTAATCTTCACACTTTGACTTCACACAAAATAAGGAAAGAATTTTGACTTTACTGTAGAGTACACTGTTGAGGCACTGTTTGACACTGTTTGGCACTGTAGAGACACTGTTTGGCACTGTAGAGACACTGTTTGGCACTGTTGAGACGCTGTTTGGCACTGTTGAGACGCTGTTTGGCACTGTTGAGACGCTGTTTGGCACTGTTTGACACTGTTTTGATGTAGATTTCTTTTCCAAAAAAGGAAATAAGGAAGTGTGAAGTTTATTTTAGACCGTCCCAAAAAGGAAAGTGTGAAGTTTATTAAAAACCGGAGGGAGTATTTGTCTAATATAGTGATATTATGTAGATGATGGAAAAAATGAAATAAAATCAATTTATATTAGGTCGTGATGGTACTTGTCCATACAGCATGAATATTTATTATTGCCAGGGAGGGTAGCCCTACTATAGAAAGATTAAATATGTTAGGTATCACTAAGTCGTTGGCATTTAAAAAAATCGACGTCTAATAATAATTCACAACGTTGCATCAGGATAATTGGAATCAATAACTACTCTATTAGATGATCATTTTGGAAATTTTAAAACATATACGGAATATGAGGAATGATCATTTAGGAAATCGTGCATTACAAATAGAAGATTTAGGAGAAAACTGAAACAATTCTTTGCCATTTTGTTAATGTTTGTACCGAAAAAATGTTTTTTGTTTATAAAAGCATGTCACAATTCTCTATATCTGTGTTTATTAAGCATGAGGGAAAAGATTGAAAACATCAAAAATCAATACTCCGCATTAGGGGTGTAAACGAGCCAAGCCGTTCGCGAGCCGCTCGCGACTCGCTCGGTAAAAACTCGACTCGAGTTCGGTCATATTCAAGCTCGACTCGAGTTCGGCTCGGCTCGGCTCGAGTGTTTAACGAGCCTAATTCAAGCCTATTTATTTTAGGCTCGAGGCTCGTGAGCCGGCTCGCGAGCTTTGGTATTTATATATAATATAATTTTTATGTATATGTATATATATTTTATTATTATTGTGATTATTATTATTATTATTATTATAAAATAACACCGTAAGAATTGTTAGTGTTAGTCGAGAACTCATATGAAATAAAGTATAATCAATGTTTAGGTTCTAAGTCATCATCATATGGATCTTTAGTTGAGTGGAGTTCTCCCAGGTGTTAAATTTGCAATGCAGGATCGAAGCCCATTTATCCCACACCGATTACTTAGAAGACTCTAGCTTTACCATGACTCAATAAATAAGACCATCTCCTCTTAATCAGTTACGGGAGGCAGCAAAGCAACCTTTGGCTAGAAGCCTAGATGAGTAGCTTCGAGCCGAACTCGAGCTAATTTCGAGCATAGGTAAATATACCGAGCCGAACTCGAGCATTAATATTTGAGCTCGTTCGAGCTCGAGCCGAACTCGAGCATGTAAAATATTTTCGAGCTCGAGCTCGAGCCTATGTATGTTCGGGCTTGGCTCGGCTCGTTTACACCCCTACTCCGCATCTATACTTAATATAACCCTGTTAAAAAAGAAAAGTTAAAGTAACCTATGTGAGATAGACCAATGTGAGACACTTTCTCGTAAGACGAGTAAATTGTACGGAATAATTTTTTTCGTTGCTTGTCTTTAGCAAATCTTTATACATATAAATAATAAAATATTTGGTAACCCTAAATTTGGTTTATCAACTTTAGTAGTCACTTTTACTAACACATAACATTTGATTTGCGCGTAAGATTGTGTAATTGTCAAAAATGAATAAGTCTGAAATCTTTTTTTGAATTGAATGTCTTGTGTTGGTTTACCATAATTATTAATAAAGTGATTGGAAAGTAAAAGTTATAGTTGAAATTTGAGTAAAATAAAATGAAATGTCATGGACCACATATTTTTTGTTAAAAAAATAAAACAAGACATTCATTTTAAAACAACTCAAAAAAAAAGAAAATTAGGATAACCCAAATTGGTCATGAAGAGTAATATTTTTTATTTTACTAATTAAATATATTTTAAATAATTTTTCAAATACAATTGTTTGATAATCTCAACTAATTCAGTCATTTCAACTAATTTCACTATCAGCATACGATCCATAAAAAATAGAAGTAAACGTGTCAAATAAAGAACTTGTCAGATGCAGAACTCCATATTACGGAGTACGTTTTATTTAAAACAAATCAAGAGCAATTAAATAAAACTGAGAAGGAATATTTATTAATAAGGGCTGCCAAGTGAAAGTTATATGGAGTAGTTTTTTTAGGTAGGAGTACATTAAAAGTTTAAGAACAACTAAAAACCAACAACCATTTAGTGAGTACACGCTTCATACCAGAGTTCAGACCTGGGCTCTCACTCGATTAGAAAGAAAGGGACATTTAATGCCACGAAAAAACACGACAGCTATTGTCAATTTATTATCAACCTCCTTGTCTGCTTATTAAATGTCAAAAATGCCCCTAAGAACTAGTCGGATATTCTGATTCGACACATACAAGTTTTTATATTCCAATTTTTATTTTATGGAGTATTAATGCACTAAAAATTAAAATTAAAATGTCAAAAAAAGTGACACTATTTTGAAATTGAAATTATAAGGTATGAATGATACTCTGTATAAAATACTCGAATGTCGCATAAATTCAAATCAGGCAAATACTAGTAAATGCTCTGTATGTTATTACACGGAAAATAAAAATCAGTACAAAATTCAACATTTTACACGGAGTAAAATGTTATAAAGTACATACCACGTACTTTGTTACATTTTACATTTTTTATACTCCATATGTCACATTGAATTTATTCAACATCATATTTAACACGGAGTAATACTTAATTTAATGGTCTCAATGCAATTTTATTTTATTTTCATTTTATCAATTCAATATCATTAACACAATTCTACTTTTTTTTGGTAACTGCATTGTGTCTTCTTGTCCCGGTCTTTTTAGAGGGGCGGATGTTGTAACTTCAAATTTTCCGTTACATTTCATCTTTACTTTTTCATTTGTTCTCACTAAATTCATCACATATTATACCACATCCGTCCTCTTTTAAATGCCAAATTGTACTTTTTACCCTATTCATATATTCTACTTTGACACTATTTATTTATTAATGTATTATAAAATAATATTTAAAAAAATTGGTAAATTCCTCTTATTTTAAATTTTCAAAATCCGAATTTTTTAATTTTAATACTAATAAGGAATGAAAGATACGGAGTATTAATGATCAAACTTATGTCTTGACAAACGTGAAAAGTGAACTGTTGCAATTATAAAAGAACGAGGAAGTATTTAATAAAAGGGAGAATTTAACTTTGCACCCAACTTTTTGGATGATATTGGACTTTGTACCCCATTTTCAAAATACTTTGATTTTGCACTATATTCCACTTAAAAATTCTTTGATTTTGCACTCAATTCAGAAAATATTTCTTCACAAAATGTTATGTGTCAGGATACAAAATCAAAGTTTTTTTTTCAAAATGAGATGTGAAATCCAATATCACTCAAAAAAGTGGGGTGCAAAGTCAAATTAGGACTAGTTGAATTTCCCTGTATTTACACTTAACAAATTCAATACTAAAAATACATTCTAATTTTCTTAATAACATGACTAGTTTCTCATATCAAACGGAGTAATTTTTATGGGACGGCGATACTTTAGTTCTGGTGCAATCCATGTAATAACACCTGGTAATATGGTATTGTTTTAGTATTTTTATTTATACAAAAATGCTAAAAGAAGACCATGAGTTATCAAGTGTACAACAATAGAAAAATTCTAAAGATCTTTGAAAAGGCTTGGTTGGTTAATCAAAAGTTATTTACTCTGGTTATTCTACCTATCAATGAGATAAGCAGAGCAAACAGAATCAATAGTTTTGATTGAATCATTTGGGACAAATTATTTGGACATTTAGTTGATATAGTAAAAAGAGTTCAAGTTAAATAATTTTGTTTTTAGTAAATAAAAAAAGGGAAAACTGTCAAATAGGTCCTCGAACTTTCATAAAAAGGTCAATTAAGTCCTTCTATAGGAGGTTCAATCCGGCCGTCACGATTTGGGTCAGTTCCCGGTGGAATTTTTTGATAAATTTTTTTGGGCATCTTATTCACCAAGTCTAGTTTACTCATACCAAATTTTAGCTAAAAATTCAATCGGGAACACATTCAAATTAATTCTTGAAGATAACTGTGTATGTTTGCGTTCTCGAATTAATTTGAATGCGCTCCCGATTAAATTTTTAGGTGAAATTTGGTATGAGTAAACTAGGTTTGATGAATAAGATGCTCAAAAATTTCATCAAAAAATTCTACCGGGAACCGCCCCAAATCACGACGACCGGACAAAATCTTCTATAGAAGGACTTAATTGACTTTTTTATGAAAGTTCGAGGACCTATTTGACAGTTTTCCCATAAAAAAAAGTTATTCTAAAAATACAAAACAAAATGACACTAGTAAATATCGGAGGTTGACATAATAAATGGAATGAGCAAAAAAGCCCAACCAACCCACACCGACAACAACCAATTCCCAGAAAAGACAGAGCAGAGCCTAACAGCCTCACTGCTTCACTGCTACTATTAACTTCCTGCCCTGCTAACATGCACCCGCTCAAATGCACAGAGCTAACATACGCATGACATCCTAAGTTCTAACGCTACGCCAGTGACTTCAAAAAATATTCACCACGAACATACCTGGTAGGCGTGTTGGAGCAGCTCGTTTGAGTAAGCAGGATTGCTGTGGCGGAAGACGACGGAAGCGGCGGCCATGGCGGCGGCGGTCTCGGCGGCTAGATCGGATCCCGGGTTGTTCGCGTCGATTTTGTAAGCGACTCTCGAAGTCGTCATGTCCTCCGGCCTCTGCCAACAGTAATGATCCGAATCGCCGTCTCCGACCTAACCATCACATCACAAATTCAACATTAAATCTCGCTTTCAGTCAATAGGATTTCCAGTAATAATAAAATAAAATGGATTGCTATTTACTACTGTTTACGCTTACCTCTCCATAGAGAACATAAGGTTGAGGGTGAGCTTTAATGAAGTAATCGGTACCCCATTTAACAGCGTCCATAGCATTATGAAGCTCACCGGCGGCAGCCATTTGTTTGCCGTACTCGATTATACTCCAGGACATCATCGTCACAGTGAAAGCCATTGGCAGTCCAAATTTCACATTGTCCCCTGCATCATAGTACCCCCCCACCAGATCCACCTGCAAATGTTAAAAGTAGTATAACTATTGTTATTATCTCATAGTTAAATTTCCAGAAATTCAAACAGTTTATGAGGGTAATATCAATACAGTACGGTACCCCATTAGCTTTCCCGTCAAGGAGACCGGAATGCCCCCTCCATTGGACTCTCTGAGAAGAGGGGAGAAACCCGGATCTCTGAGCTTCGTAGAAGAGGAAGCTCTTGCTCAGCGCTTGGCCATAGTCATGGCCGGCCAAAGCAAGAGGAAGAAGTCCCAGAACCAAAACCAGTGGAGCCATGGAACAGAGCATTATAACTCCCTTCATTTTGCACACGAACGAACAGTATTCAGATCTGATCTGGGTTGACCGAATGGGGAATGTGGGTTCCGTTTATGAGCTGGTAGTAAAACTCTGGCGAATTTAATGATTTGGAACAGAACAGACCACCGCCTGGAGTAAGAGAAAGAGGAGGGAGGGATTGTGACAGAGGAGGTGGAGTTTGAGCTTCGGCTTGAGCTTGGTATATATGGTGGAGGGAAGCGGATGATGCCAAAATGTGAAATTGTAAGAATACTGTGCTCTAGCATTATTTTCCTTTTTCGTAACAAACTTCCTCCATATTTAAAGTTTAATCCCATATGGTGAACAAGTGAACATATATAATGTGTTCATAATGATGAAATATTAAAATAAAAGAATTCGTGAAACTTGATTTGAAATTTTAAAATAGATTAAAGCATAAACTACCTACTTGTACAAGTTATCATTATTTTGTTTTCAAAATATGACCGGTTCATTTCAAAGTATTTCTATATTTTTTAAACCACAAGAACAAAAACTCAAGAAGCATGGGGGAGAGAGTTTGTTAGGATCTATGGTAAACTGGGATCAATCTCACTCCATTGACATTTGAATCTGGGACCTCTCATAAGGAGAAGAGTGAGTCCGCAGCCAGTTGGGCTGGATCCCTTCATTTTAAAGATTATTATTTTCTAATTTTGGAAACCAACAAGAGACCAATATTGACAACAATTATTCGTAAACTATTACTATCAACCCTACGACTAGCCATAGAAACGACCACCCATGAAAGAGTAATATGAATCGCTAATTATCAAACGGTGTGACACAACAATCATTGGTCATATAGATCCTTCGGACGACGTAATATCTAGCAGAATTGTCAATCATTATTAAAGACCTAAACTTAAAGACATCAACAAAAACAGAGTGATGTCAACAAACATAACACGAAAATAAGACCATAAGAAATTTAAAAAAAATGAAAAAAACAGACTACTTTCTGCCAGTTTTCTTGAAGCATTATCTTATCAGTCCGGACATCTCGATCTCTCCAAGGCGGCGGTTCAGGAGGGTGGCGGACCATCGATCTGTCTTCTCCTTTGTTCGGCCCTTTACTGCATGTGCCACCTCATAATATGTCTTCGCCCGTGACAATCTCCAAACTGTGATTTTTATCCACCAACTCCTCCACAGGACTACCGCAAAAAGCTACGACCGTCTCTTGGAAATCGTTGAATACCCAATCCCTTCCTGATTGTATATCACACTCTTCCCTGCACTGACAATCGTCGAAGCACACGTAGAGAAAACAAACACCCGCACTAGGACGACGCTCCATCGCTCGCACTTTGGCGAGAAAAACTAACTCGCACATAGGCGAGAGAAATTTTCCTAGGGCAAATTTGTACATTGTGGCGCTTAATTTTGGAAACTATTAACACCATTAAATGATAATTTAATCATCAAATAGTAAAAAAATATTATATTCAAGTAGATTTACGTCTTTGACCTCGTATCATCTGCATCTTACGACTGATCTCTTTTGCTTCTGTATTTCCCCTTCTCACTGTTTCAGTTACACCTGTTTTGTAGGATCATTGACATTCCATTTTTTGACTATACGATGAAATTACTATTTTGTGCTTCGTTTTAATATGAGTGTGGCAGAGATGCGCATGTTGCGTTGGATGTGTGGGCATACTAGGGAGGACCACGTGCGAAATGAGACAATGAGACAGAGGGTGGGAGTAGCACCTATTGAAGACAAGATGCGGGAGTCTCGCCTACGGTGGTTTGGTCATGTGCGTAGAAGATCAAGTGATGCACCTGTCAGACGTGTTGAGATGTGTGGAGAAGAGGCAGGGAAGAGAAGGAGAGGAAGACCCAAACAGACGTGGGTTAGGGGAGTCCGAAGTGATATGCTTCTTCTTTGGGTTGGATGAGGGTATGGCTTTGGAGAGAGCAAGGTGGAGGGCGGGTATTCGTGTGGAGGAGTGATCTCGTATTATTTTTTCCCCTCATTTTTTTCCTTCTTGTTTTTTTATTCTTTTATCCTTATATATATAAACATTATTTTTGTCTTTTTTATTTTATCATGTTTAGGTATATTCATCTCGTTTTATATTATCTTTTTATATTATCTTTTTTTTTATCTTTTTTTTCTTTCTTTTCCTTTTAGTGGTGATATCATGTATCGATTCATGTTAGCTGACCTCACTATCTTTTCGGACTAAGGCTTGGATGTCGTTGTTGTTGTGTTTATTGACTATCCTTTGTTTTAAAAAACTATTATATTCATAACAACATTTATCATCAATAACATTTTATATTATATACTCCCCCCGTCTCGGAAACAAGTTGCCGGGTTGACTTTCACACTTTTTAAGGAAAAAAATTATGAGAGGTAAATTTCACTGTTTGGACACTGTTTGGCGTTGTTTGGCGCTGTTTTGAAGTAGAGAATTTGCCAAATAAGGAAGTGAGAACTTGTTTTCGGGACATCCAAATAAGGAAAGTGGGAACTTGTTTCCGGGACGAGGGTAATACTTATTAAAACTATTTCTCAAAATATACTGAAATTTACATACGTAGTACTTAATTAGTGTCTAAATAGTTTTGTCATTTCAAATGAGAACCTTTGAACGTGACGAGCACTATAAGTTTAGTTATTGTATCCAATAGAACTTCTTATGTAGTTTTGAAATATATAAGTTATACTACATTCGTCTCAAATTGATTTACAAAACCAATTTTTATTGGTCAAACAATTTTATTTTATTCACTTAATTAGAATATCAATTTTGTTATTATATTCTAAATTCAGTAAATTGAATTATGCAATTTTATAGAGTTTCTAATGTAGTTCTTGAATATGTAAATTTTAATTATAAAAAATTGAAATAATAATCTATAGGTAGGATGTAACTTTAACATTGATTAATACGGAGTAAAAAAATATCCGACTTTAGAAATCAATTTGGAACAAACATGGTTATTATTAACACTAATGTATAGCATCTGGCACTTTTAATTTTATTATCATTCTAGTGTCACAAACTGAACAAGAAATTGACTTGCGGTACATACTCCGTATAATTTTAGGATTGAAGAAGTCTTATTTTGATAATGAAACATTATTAATCATATTCATAAACTTGGTCCATATTTTACTAGTATTAGCAATTTCTTTTATTTTATTTTACGTGTATATTCAATGGGTTTTTGAGATGACTTTATTTTCATTTTTGGTAAATTGGGCATATTAAAATGTGGGAACTACCTATAGGGATCGTACAATTAGGTGACTAGTTCACTACCGTAACTTTCCCTGGGACTATAGATTGTTTACGTCAAAAGTAAGAATTTTCTTCTTTGGTTTGTCGTTTGTTTTTCAATGAAAAGAGAAAGGGTTGTGTGGGAGGAGTAAGACACCATAGCCATGTGCTTTTGTTTGACGCTTTTACACGGATGGTAACTGTAGAGGGCCCTAATTTTAATTCAATTCCGCGTGGAACCTAACTACTAAGAGCCCGTTTGGTAGCACCAAAATCGGCTGTTTTGGCTGATTCTGCTGAAATTTATGATATTCTGGCTGGAGTGGCTGTTTTGGCTGATTCTGCTGATTTAAGAAAAAAATATTTTAAAAATATATTTTATTAATAAATTAAAGAAAAAATTATATGTAAAAATAGCTAAAATGGTCTTCTACAGTAACTTCAGCCAATACAGCCAGAAAAGTAACTCCAACCTTACTTTTTCGGCTTATTACACAATTCAGCGCGCGAAAGTAAAAGTTACGTGTTTGGTGAAAAAGCTGGCTGATAAGCCTGATAAGCCGAAAACAGAGTTCTCCAAACGGGCTCTAAGTACGTGTATATTTTAATATACCGTACTTGACCTCATGATCATTAAAGATTAAACAGATAATTACATACTTCCATATAATAATACTAATAACATTTATGGATGTTCGTCGGGGTCAGTTTCAATTTTATTGTTTCAGTTTTGATCGATTTTGATTTTTAAGTCGATCGGTTTTGGTCGATTTCAATTTTAAATTGTTTGGTTTTAGCGTTCTTAAGGATAGATGAAATCGAGAATCGAACCACAAAACTTGAGTTATTTCAATTTATTTGCATCGGTTTTGGCCGATCTTAGCTTGTTTTGGTCGGGTTTTGTCAGCCAATTTTGGTTTGGTCGGGTTTTTAATCCAAAAGTATAAACCGTAAGTCGAATTACTGATTATTCAGTCCGTTTCGGTCATTTTCTGTTTTAATCGGTTAGTTTGAATTTTAGCCGATTGATTTTGGACGTTTTTTTCCCGGTTTTTATTGACCCCTGTAAAAAAGTTGCCAAAGTGAATATTTATTCTTTTTTAATTTGATGAGATACTTTATTACTTGTTGCACTAGTATAGTAGTATATGTAGTACAATGTTAACATATGTACGATTTGTTCCGCATAATAGATTTTGTTTAGAATAGATTTTATATTAAATTTTTCTACTTCTAACACTTGACAAATTTAAACATTTTGTACTGTTAGAGGTATTGGTCCTACCAAAGCCTCTCTTCCACTTTATTATTTAAGCTTGCACCCCATGTTTACTCTCACTTTGATTCCTTGAGTTGAAATCACTCATTGGTGGCCTGTTGACTTATCTGGAGTATGCCCCATTGCTTCTGTCTGCTGCTCCCTTTTTGATTGCCTTGGCTTATACCCGTGAGTGTCCTGTGACATACCCGTGATTGTCCTGTTGTTTGCCCGTGACTTCTCAATAGGCTGCCTGCCTATTATAAAGTCAGCTCCTTTCCTTCTTTGTGAGATAAGCCTGCGAGAATACTCCTTGTGTAGTGTCTTCCTTCTTCCTTTCCCTTTGTGTGAGAGTTCCTTAGTGGAGTGAAGAAGAGTGAGTAAACATGGGAGATGGAGTTGCCTAGACCTAGAGTGGTGTGTGTGAGTTTAGTATAGAAGGTTGGAGACCTGAGCTGGAGACGGAAACGATCCTTACAGTGGTATCAGAGCCGGTTCGCCGTCTGCCGCCGTTCGAGGTCGCTGCCGTCGATTGAAGTCTTTGGAGAACTGCTCATGACTCACCAGACCCTTCACGCCAGAAATCGACAGTCGATTTCTGTGCCCCGTCGAAGTTCACTGTTCGTCCCCACCTAGAAATCGTCGCCAGAGTTTCTGGCCTTCACCGAAGAGATAGCTCGCCGACCGTGGAAGCTCTTTCGCCGTAGGACTCTCGTGGCTGAAAACTGTCGTCCCCTGGGAGCTCCTCCGTCGGAATCAGTCGCAGGAGTCGCCGGTCACCGGTCCGTCGCCTGAGAGCTCC